CGGCACAACGGCTGTGAGCGAGGGGGGGCCAGGTGGCTTTCTGACAGAGAGAAGTCGATTTTTACGGTGAGCCTCCATCCCTTTCCAGTCATCTTCGTGATGATCACCGACATTGTCTTTCATAGTATCCATCCCCATGAGGTATGATGGATGTGTTAAGTAGTATACTGCGTGACAACACGGTAATTTACCTGTTTCCCCCCCAAACAAGGGTCTGGCTTAGTCACCAGATAGACTTGCCTATCCGGGCAGTTGCTCACCTGGTCTGGCGGATTCGAGAGTCAAACATCGACTCATCCCTGTCGCCCCCCCTGGAACATGGTACTCGATACATCAACTCCTGAAGTCTCATTTGGTCTCAGGTTGGATGCATTTTGCGACCATGCGAAAATATTGAAACTATCGGCGTCATGCCGATTCTGCGGAGAACAGAAGAACCCAACGACGTCATGTTCCCACCAACAGTAGACTAACTAATTACCGAGACCAAGGCAGGAGACCACTAGCTTTGCAGCTGCTTCCAATCACTGGGGAAGTCGACGTTGGTTTATACCCTTGCCTTTATACAGTGACCATACCAGCGCAAAGGCCTTCTCTTGAGTTTTTTTTTAGGTTTAATACCTCAATTGCACTTTCCGTCATAGTGCTTACATTAACTGACTAGTGTCTCCAACAAAAATGTTTCTATATACTTTTCATCCTTTGTGCATATTTACTCCTGCAGGACAGCCTTGAACCCCTCCAGCAAATCATTCTTCAAATCTACCCAATTCTCCAACCCAATACTCAGTCGCAGCAACTTCCTGTCCACCCGGGAATCCGATAACGCACGCCATTCGATCAAAGACTCAACACCGCCCAGACTCGTGGCGTGCTGGAAGAAAGCCAACTTGCTAGGTAGTCGTTGCGCAAATTTTTCACTCTGGAGGACAATTGAGAAGACAGGGCCGAATCCATTAGGCATCTGCTCTTTGACCCAGGGCTCCTCCTGCAGGCTGGTATGGTATATTTTCTTCACGACAGACTGAACTACCTGTTCTTCGCTTCCAGCAGCAGCTGAGGGGGCAGTCAAAGCCTGATTAAGCCAGGCAACTAGACTCCCGCAGCCCTGACTCGCTCGTTGGACACGAACCTCGAGGGTGCGTAGACTGCGGAGCCCGAGCCATGCCTCCAGGTTGCCAATGACATTGCCCAATGCGACTCTATCTTCCAGTAGCTGCTTCTCCCAGTCTCTGCGCTGAGTAGCGAGTACACCACATAGAAGGTCACTATGGCCGCCGAGGTACTTAGATCCCGAATGAAGAACAAGATCAGCGCCCCACCGGAAGGGGTCCTGAAGACCAGGAGGGCCAAAGGTGCTATCAACCACCAAATAAGCACCTCTGGAATGGGCCTTCTTAGCGAACTCATCAATACTGAAAGAAGTTCCTAGCGGATTGACGGGGGTTTCCAGGAGGATGACATCGCCTTTGTCAAGCTCATCAGCCGGGCAATCGAGTGGTAGCTTCTGCAGCCCGGACAATCTGGAGATAACAGAGATGACCTCATGACTGCCGTGATAGCCTTCACCGACCGAGATGCGACGGGGGTTCAAGAGGACGAGGGCGGCCTGGAGGGCAGCGAGACCGGTCGAGTAGCTCACAACCCGGCCGTTGAGAAGTGATGAAACGACAGCTTCGAATCGAGTTGCGTTGGGGGCGAACTCTCTGGAGTAAATGTAGTTTTTGCCGTCGAACTCTTCCTGATAAGACTGTTAGTTGTGGGGGTCATCATTACATTTGGGAATGCGCATTGGCCGATTGGCAAACATACCACAGGGTCAACGGACGGGATCAAATCATCTGGGTTGTCGGGAAATCTGAAAGTTGTAGACAGATGAATTGGGGGTGCGACGTCTGTCACCCGGTTAAGGTGGTCGTCTGCATGTAGTGCTCGAGTCGAGGGATGGTGAAGGTTAGAGGGAGTCATTGCTCGAGTCGCCTGCTGAATATATTTTTGGAATGTCAAGTCTGACAGTAATTTAAACTGAAGATATATTCAACAAAAATCACTCGAAGACGTGAAATGACTCCCTTATATACACACAGAGTGAGTCGATTGCCTTCAGGTTCTTCTCTATACTTCATCTTTCTCTGGCGGAGACCCCGCCCCACTCCCTTCAAGTTCCTAAACGGGCAAAGATTTGGAGAGGAAAATCTCTTTCATTGGTTCGGGAGAGGTGGCCCCGCCACCATCCCGAACTGGCCTGAGTTGCACTATCACAGATATTTTCCACATACATTCTAGAATCTAATGCCAGAGATTTTGGCCAAATGGCTTTGAAACGACTTGCACGTGTGGGAACGGACATCAAAATCTGATGATAAAGATTCTTGATCCGTCACTTGGTGGCTACTGACCACGTACCGCAATGCTCAGGCACGTACTGGTATCCACCAGATTGCTCATCGACTCCAGTATTCCGAGGAGATAGTAATGATGTTTTCCGCAGAAGCCAAGAGGGGTCTACACCTATCTAGTAGTACAGCTCTATAGTGGTTTAACCCACCAGTTGTGCCACTTACATAATAGAAATAGCACTAAATGAATTTATTACTCGGCGATCCTGTCCAATCAGCACACTGTCCGATACGATGACACAGACAAAAGTATGACTCGTCGGCCGATAGACTCGTGAACTACTTACAGTAGATAACAATATAAAAACGCTTATCCTCTCTACTTCACTTGAAGTCTTTCCAAAATACACCCATACTTAAACTCATCAAACAGGATCGCATTTCACGCCCACAATGTATCTCCGCGCCATCCACGCCGAATCCCACATCCCAGCCCTCCACCAACTCATCCGCCAAAACCCCCTCGGCATCCTCACCACAGCAATCAAATCCCCTCTCTACCCTCTCCTCCAATCAAGCCACATACCCTTTATCCTCGATCTCCCCGAAATAGAAGACTCAGCAGACAGCACAATCCCCAATGGCACCCTCCGCGGCCACATGGCCAAGCAAAACCCCCAAGCCAAGGCCCTAATGGAAGCACTAGCAGCGCAACAGCAACAACCCGGCAACAACCCCAACTCTCTAGAACTGGAAGACGAAGTCCTCGTCCTCTTCACCTCCGAACACCACCACTATGTCACACCAAAGTTCTACACGGAGACGAAGCCTGCCACGGGGAAGGTCGTCCCGACGTGGAACTATGCCGCTGCGCAAGCGTACGGCAAGATCCGGGTTTACTGTGATTCGAAATCCGAGGAGACGGGAGCGTTCTTACAGAAAGCCGTGGAAGATTTGACTAAACAAAGTGAGGGGTCTATTATGGGGTATACGGGCACGGAGGGGCGGCCGGGGCCGTGGAAGGTGTCGGATGCGCCGGTGTCGTATGTGGAGATTTTGAAGAAGAATATTATTGGCATTGAGATTAGGATTGAGCGGTTGCAGGGGAAGTTCAAGATGAGTCAGGAGATGGGGAAGGGGGATCGTGAGGGAGTGGTTAGTGGGTTTGAGGCGTTGGAGACGGATGTTGGGAAGGGCGTTGCGCAGATGGTGAGGGAGAGGGGGGAGATGAAGGATGCGCAGAAGTAGGAGTATAGATTGTGTGTACGAATTAGTGGGCAGAGATTAGATAGTATCTGATATGTGGGGCGCCATGCATATAGTGCTGAAGATTAGCACTGTCTTAGTCAAAATTACTATATAACCGCAGCAGTTGTCTAGCACATTTAAGATGGTGGAAGTTATAATGCGATCATATAATAACCTCGTATTCTAGATGTCATGATTGAAACAGACTGCATCTTATTTCACTCTGCTGATTTCAATCTCGTCCTGATGCATATAATTAATTAGCGCATACATTCACGCAATAACGACAGGGAGACACCTACAACTATATCTTCTGGGAAAAGAAGACATTTCATCCCCCAGCTTTCATACTTCGAGCTCCCACGGACAAACTCCCGGTAAGCCGGCGCACCAGGATGCACCACATTATCCGCGAGTACCAAAGAGCCGGGGCGAAGGAACCCAAGCCGTTCCGACAGCTCCAGATCAGGTACATAAAGATCCTTGATATGATCAATGAACATGAGATCAACACTAGGTAGCTTCCCTTCCGCACTTAGGCGCTTGAGCGAGTCATCCGCCGGACCGACAACCACTTTGGCAATATCGCTGAGACCCGCCAATTCGATAAAGTTCATGGCGATAGATGCAATGAGGGGATCGGCTTCCAGACTCCACAAGCGGAGGCCTGTCGAGGATCCACCAGCGGCTTGCCGCATGGCGTCTGCGAACATGATTGCGGAGTAGCCGACATAGGTGCCGAGCTCAACGACAACCTTTGGCTTTTCATCTGCGAAGAGCGTCGAAAGCTTCTTGGCTTTGTCTGGGCCAAGGCTGATAAAGAAGGCTTGCTTTGCAGCGAACTCGTCGATGAGAGCGAGTAGGGCGGACGGATTGCCGCGGATTTGGGGCAAGGAGGGGTGAGAGTAGATGTATTTTAGCAAGGAGACCTCCAGAGTATCGTGAGACTCGGACTTGCAGAGAGAGACTGGTTTCTCGTCAACTGGTGCCATTGTGTTGGATTAGTATGTGTCTTGGCGAGATATTTAGCCTACTGTACTAGTATGGGTGTAGAAGGGAGAGAAGGGTGATGAACCGACACCGGGCTAGAACAACGGAGGGGCTTACGCAGAACTATATAGTCGGTCACATCTTGCTTATCGCGCATAGAGCGACATGAAAAATGTAGAATGCAAGGTAGGAATGAAAAGAGTGTCTGCCATGCCGTAAATTTTGGTTGACCGGTCAGTTCAGGGGGCGCGGATCGTGCTTTGATTGGGTGGCGGAAATAGTTTGGCGGCCAGACCTTGAATCTCCCCCACAGAGTTACTCCCGGCCTCGCTGCATCTTCCTCCATCTTTCATCCCCGCTCTGTCCTATCAGACACCATCAACGAACTTTATTGTCTACAGACTCTACATGTCTCAAATTTTATGTCCATTGCAGATCACGGCCTTTCTGTGCGTTGGGCATCAAAATTGCTGGACTGGCATTCGATGAGGGGATCTCGCCACGCAGTAAAGACAGCGTCGCTACGCAGCCTACTATAGACTGTACGTCCAACGAGAATGGAGGAGCCGTGCTACACATGTCGACGCCGGCGCATTCGCTGCGACCAGTCTCAATCTCCTTGCGTTAAGTGCGCGACAAGTGGCTATCAATGCTTTGCTTCTAGACCTCTGAGATGGGTTGAAGGCCTAGCGATACGGGGGAAGCTGCGGGGCGTATCATTGGCAACCAAATCAGCTAGTCCAGCTAAAAAAGCAAAACCTCGAAAAGAGTCAGACTCAAGTGAAGACAGTCTTGCATCGGCGAGTGAGTCTGCTCTTTCCGTTGTGCGGTCTCCCGAAAGTCAGGGTAAGTATAGCTGCTGCATACCCTATTGAATATCAATAAATCGCTCATATCGGATTAGTCACCCCATCGGAACCTGTAATCAGCATACCACCGACTATAGGCGATTTTGCCATATCTGACCTGGACGCAGTCTCCAGGTACTACTTGGATTACTGTGAGTCATCTTGTTAGGCTGTGCACAGACTTGTCTAACGCTGCCTCAGATAATGAAAGCATATGTGGACTCTTCATCGTTTACGACAGCGATAGGAATCCTCTTAGGGCCCTAATGTCACTTGCGCTGCTTGACCGCACGCTGCTCAAGTCCGTACTGGCTCTTGCAGCGCGACACAGGGTGAATCGACATTGCTTGTTCCGTGATCTCACTGTCAATGCATCTTCCGATCAAAAGATTGCAAACTCTGACGCGCTTCGCTTCAAATATCAAGCCATACAAGGGATTGCACAGGCCCTGGGTGATGCGAAATCACGGAACAGGGATGAGACAGTGGCAAGCATATTCCTCCTAGTATTTCTCGATCTTCTGGAGTCTGGAAGTGATCGATGGAATGTCCACCTAGAAGGTGCCAAAAGATTGTTGGAACCCAGTACACCTGACTCGCAGGCTGTTTCCAGACACAATTCCGGACAAACGATAGAGGATCTGCGTAATTTTCTTGCTAGTCAGATTTACTCGTAAGCAAGGAGCACTCTGGGTGTTGAATTCTGTGACTGACGATCATCTTACTTTAGCATCGAAACCTTGGGTGGAACCTTTGTACGCCCAAAGTTATTGTCACAGTATGATTTGCTTGGGGGCCCACAATTCCAAGAGACCGTCGAGCAGTCATTCCTTGGATGTCCAGAATACCTACTGGACGCTATACGGTATCTCTCTGCACGAAGAGACACAATTGCCAGCTCCGAATGCCATGATGACTCCACCTGGAGCTACTTCATTGAGGATACTATATCGATGGTAAACTTCATCCAGCAATTCGACTGTACCGTATGGGCTTCGTCGCTACCATATCTGGGCACCACCCCTCCAAGAGATACAAGCTCTCTTTGCACATTGGCGCAATCATACAAGATAGGAGCTCTAATATATGGAAAACGCGTCCTTGGCGCTCTCACTAAGGAGTGTTTACCACTGGAGGACCTGCTCCAGGAGTTGCTTGCCACGATTGAAAGCCTGCAGAACAATGAGTCCTTGTACAAATGCATCCTCTGGCCCATAATAATTGCTGGTCTTGAATGCCGACGACAGGAGCAAAGAGACTCTGTGCGGACTTATATGGAAAGTTTCTGGGAGCAGACCAAGTGCGTGAATGTGATTAATGCTTCCAAGATTATAGAAGACCGCTGGCAGCGATGCGACGGTGCAGAACCTTCACACTGGATATTCTCAATTGGTCACTTGGGCCGTGACTGGCTTTTGATTTGAGCGTTGGCTCGGACAGGCGCACAAAGACGGAGCTGACAGCACTGCAGTCATCAAGCTCTAAGACGGTGTTTTACTTGAGCGTATAAACCTATCTGTTGACCTATAATATGGCATTAGACTGTCCAATGATGGCTTTCGATTGTGGTGTTCAAGCAGACCTCACTCGTCCCATTGCTTTCTCAGGCCTTGGCTGAATGAAAAGTCCCTTCAAGAGACTGAGCAAAGCTTAGCCGTTTGTTCAGAACTGCATCGGAAAGCTTTTGCGCCACTGATCAGTTACCGGGCCAACATCTAACATACAAAGAGGGGATCAGATTTAAGTCGCTGATGACCCGCGGTACAGACTTTGGCGCCCTTAGTCATGCTCCTGTTATCAACCCCTCCCCGGACTCTTATCCTATCTTACCCCTCACGAAGCGTCGATCGTCTAAATTGCCACCACCAGTTGACTCCGTACCAAGCAACATGATACCAACCATCTCAGAGCCCTGTCAGACTCCTTACACCAATTGCACTATCTAGCAGCAAAATGCCCTCCCCTGAGACCTACGATGTAACCATCATCGGCGGCGGCCCCGTTGGCCTCCTCCTCGCCTACCAACTCACCCGCTTTGACCTTTCAGTCTGCCTTGTGGAAAAGCAAGACAAAAATACTCCGGAGGGCCGCTACGGCCGTGCCATTACACTGTTTCCGCGGACGTTGGAGCTCCTCGATCAATTGGACTTGGTCGATTCTATGCTTCAACAGGGGTTTGCTTGCAGAAGTAGTGTGACGTACAAAGATGGAGTAAGACAGCAAGTATATCTCTAACTTCGCTCAATACTACGATTAACCAACTGGGTAGGTTTCCAGGAAAAGTATGGACCTTCATGGAGAATATCCAGGGCACCGTGTTTGATTTTGCCCTTGTACTGAGACAAATGTATACGGAGGATATATTGAGGGCGAGGTTGGATAGGAGAAAGGTGACTTATCATGGTTCTATGGAGTGTGTCGGCTTTGAAATCGGTCTGGACGATAGTGAGTATCCAGTGACGGTGCATTGCTCAGGATCTGGTGGTATGATAACAGCCAAAAGGTATGCCTTCTGCACGAAAGGCTACTCACAGAAGCATAATACTGACTGAGTACTAGTAAATACCTTGTTGGGGCAGACGGTGGCCATAGCCTTGTTCGCAGATATGCCAATATTCCTTTCGATGGTGATTCATCAGAAGATCAGTGGATTCGCATTGATGGTTTAGTTGAGACCAACATGCCCATCAATCGGGCTTATGGGTAAGCTAGATCTTAAATGAGTGATCTTGACACGATCTGATCTGCAAACAGGGCCATCGAAACAACAACACATGGGAATGTTCTCTGGGCCCCTCTTGACCACGGCGCTACCCGCATTGGCTACGCATACACACCCGAGATAGCAGCTAAATATCCAGAAGGGGTAACTGAAGAAGTTGCTGTGAACGAAGCAATTGCGTGCTTGTGGCCCTTCAGTTTAAAGTTCAAAGAGGTACACTGGTGGACATTGTAAGCAACCCACGCAGGCCACTAGACATCTGACTAATGAATCGTCAAGATACAAAATTGGCCAGCGCATGGCTCGAACTTTTGCAACACACAACAATCGTGTCTTCATTTGCGGTGATGCAGCCCATACCCACAGCAGCGGCGCCGCTCAAGGCCTGAACACTGGTATTCACGACGCCGTGAACCTTGCCTGGAAGCTGGCTTTGGAGGTGCAAGGGCTATCTCATCCGGAGGTCTTGGACACCTACACAACGGAGCGCCAGTCTGCAGTGCAGAGGTTACTCAACTACGACAAAGATATCTCTTTATTGATGACGCATAAATGGCCGGCTTGGTACGATGGTGACCCGAACGCGGACCCGAACGTTCTCCTCGGAGAAATATTCAACAATGCTGCACCATTCAACACAGGTCTCGGTATATCCTACGAGGCCAACGTGATCAATCAACCCTGGGAGTCAGCCACCGAGGCGGCTGTGGGGGTTCAACCAGGGACCCGGGCTCCGGATACCGAGTTGACCGCGCCAGGGACATTCCAGTCTGTGCGGATGCACCAAATTCTGCGGAACCGGTGCCGGTTTCATGCGATAGTCTTTACAGGCGGTGATATCAAGACATCGAAATTGGATTTGGTTCCTCTTCGGGAGTACTTGGATAGCCACCCGGAGCTTTCAAGGCACCCGGCCATTTCCTGGTTAACAGTGTGCGGCTCAGCCGGCTGCTCGCCGTACGAGGTGCTCGGGATGACAGGATTTGGCGATACCTACTTCGACGCGAGAGGGATAGCACACTACGCCTATAAACTGGATCCACGCAAAGGAATGCTAGTGGTGATCCGACCAGACGGGCTGATAGCATTCACATGTGCATTAGACGGAGAGACGATCTGGCAGCACTTTTCTAGGATACTGAAGAGCAAACCACAGAAGACTCGTTTGTGATATCAATATACCAGACTGTTCACACAATACAAATAGACTGAATCAAACACACCCTCTCCTCAGATTTTCAAACCGACTCAGCGGATAATACAACGTATTCTCCGTTCCATCCAACCCACCCAACCTGCCCAACCTCTCCGCAGTCCCCCTGACCAAGCTCCTCTCATGCGAGACATGATGGTCCCCACTCAACTCCCACCACATAGCCCCTCCCAAATGCCTGTTAGCAACATAATCCGTCTTCATAGCCGCCACCTCCGGTGTATCATAACTGACCATCTTCCTATTAACCGGATCATGACACCAACTAGCCATCAACCTCGGATCCACCACTTCCCTACTCCCCTTCAACGGCAAATCCTTGTAATCCCACACTCCATTCTCCCAACTCCCCTCCCCAACCCCCTGGAACCCACCTCCAGGCCCATCCGTCCCCTCAAAAGCCCTCCCATACAGCGGCAACCCAAAAATAATCTTCCTCGGATCCCTCACCCCACCGTTCAAATACATCGTCACCGCCCCATCCGCACAAAATGGGGTAATCTCTCCCCTCCCCGAATGGAACACATTCGCCATATGCCCGGAGTTCTTATCCCAACTCCCACTGAAATCATAACACATCAGATTCCAGAAATCCAAGTACGGGTCCATATCGCCGATCCGCAGTTTCCGGATATTATCCGGCCCGCATGGCGCCGCGATCGTCAGTAACAGCCTTTTCCCACCGAGGTGGGTAGCGGAGTACTCGTCCAGCACGCGCCTGACATCCTTCAGTAGAATAACAAAGTCCTTTGCCTGCGATGCATCGGCCGGATACTCCCAATCGATGTCGATGCCGTCGAAGCCCAGGTCCGCGAGGAGGTGCACGGCGCTCCGGGCGAAGGTTTCGCGCCCGCGGGGGGTGGATGCTGGCGCGGCGAAGTTGGGACTGTAGGTCCAGCCACCAATGGAGAGGAGAGTTTTGAGGTGGCGGTGTTGTTGTTTCAGGAGGTAGAGTTGCTTGATGCACCCGTAGGCGTTGGTGCCGGGCTCGGACCAGCTGTCGTTGGGGTAGTGCTTTTCGAGGTCGGAGTAGGTGTCTGTTAGGAAGCTACACGATACAAATGTTAATTAAGAGACTGTTTTGGAAGGCTGGGGAAGGGACGTACACTTCGCCAGTCGGGCGGATGTTGGCGAAGGAGTCTAATGATGTTAGAACAAGAACAAGGTTGAATAGAGAGTACAATGGGCACGTACAGAGAATATGGGTAATATACTCCGCAGGAATATCCTGAGGTTGGTAATTGCGGCCGTAGACGCCCTGCCACAATCCATTAGTTTCATATCACACTTATTGATACCCAGAGAAATATTGTAAGGGAAGATGTGTTGCTTACCCAATTAGTAAAATACCCGACAGTCTTATACCCCGGTCTCCCGACATTAATCCACGGAGGCGGGGGACGGGCCATCGGAGGACGTGGGGGAACCGCGGGCGGTGCTCCTCCAGCAGCAGCGCTTGGAACAACCGGCGGGCCCGGAGGACAGACAGCAAGGTGGATAGGAGGATCGGAAGGTGAGAAATGGCTAGCGCCATCGCCGGGAATTCCACGACTCTCCGGAGGAGGAGGCTGAGGCTGATCAGACCCCGGGATATTCAGCTGCTGCCCCGGATAGATAAGATCTGGGTTGGTGATCTGCGGGTTGGCTGCTCTGAGGGCGTCGAGAGTGACGCCGTGGTCTTGGGAGATTTTCCATAATGAGTCGCCGCTGGCGATGGTGTAGGTGGACATTATGGGATATGAAGTATTGAATATCGAATATGAGGATGAGAGGGAAGGATAATGAAAGGAATGATAACGATTGATGGTTATTTGCTGAGTGGTAAGCAAGCATATAAGGCTGTTGTGGTTGTCGAATATATGCGGCACCGCCCGGTTGTGGCGCGGGGGTTCAGGGGTCCTTTTCATACGCTTTACTGTGTTGGGTTTAGTGGGCACACAGCCTTGGGGTATTTTTAGATTTGGAAGGTGGGAGGGGAGGGTTGGTGTGATGTCATTTGTTTTGGTGGTAGGCAGACAGATATTGTGGGTAGCTAGTACTGTTGGGGAATAGTCTGTTGTATTTTCTTGAGGTGGAGATGGTATTGGAGAGAAAGAAAAAATGCTGAATAACCGGGGAGCATGTTTCTGCATCTCCAAGAATATCAATTGTTGCGACATTCAGTGTAGCCAGGCATCACCTGATCCTCCACTATCTCTTACAACACCAACCATCATCATAATGAGTATCTATTTACTACAGTAGTATATTTGAACTACATACTTTCATTTTCCGTCCTGAGTCTAGCCAAAAATCAAGGCTGCTGTAACGAAGACAGGTGTTTGTGTAGATGACGAGAAAGAAATGCTTCAGAGTAGATCTAAATAAACCGCTAGATGAAATTCTGGCATGAGATTCAGATTTCCCCTGGGAACTCTTTGTAGAGGTTTGCCCGATTCTGCACTCATCACAGAGCTTGCCTCATGATATCAGTCCCCGACAATACCTTGATCACCGGCGATGAACCTCCTAGTAAACAGTATGATGAACAAACCTCCTGGGCTTGCGTCCTGGAACAATCATCGCTATATTGCATTGAGAGGGGTGTTGTTGGATCGACGTCATCCAGGAACGCGGTTTGGTCGCTACTCTTCGTAAAACTGGAGAATCTATCGACTAAGGCCCTCATTGAGGGATGGAAGGAGTGATAGATAGTTCCAGCTGACTTTCATGTGTAACGGATCCAGTTGAGAACCGCAGATCAGTAGGAGAAAAAGGGCAAGAATGCCCATTCTGCTGGGAGGATCGCCCACCATGAAAAAACCTTTTCATGCTTCATGGCCACAAGCACTGATCAGCCAAGCTCACTCAAATTGCGGATGGATTATTCTGAATGAGCATATACTATAGCCGTGTTTACTATCTACGCGATATTGTATTGTAGCACCGAACAGACCAGGAATGCGTGAAATACTTTGACGAAGCCATAGGTGTGATCCCGGATTGACCGGGCCCCTAGTGAAGATCTCGGTGGTACTGGTAGCAATTACTCAAATGACAATCCTGATGACTGAAGCGAGGAAAGGTTCCGTGTGAACCTAAATGGTTAGGTTCGTAGCATGACGGATATGAATTGTTGAGAGCCGGAGTCTGCAGGCTTTTGACTCAATAAAACCACATCCCGAAATGATCATCGCATACAATTAGTACATCAATATCGATGATTTGTGAAATGAATAGAATAGGTATCCCCCAAAGCCACCACGATATAATCATATGATTCAATATGTAGTTGTATTCGGCAAATACTTCAGCTTGCAGCTTACTCCTTTACGATAGAGTTTTACAAAAGAACAAGCCATCACCTATAGGAGCCCTCAAAAGCTGGTAGATCTTGCATCACAAAATATACGGAAGTAATCTCCGGGGAGGTTGATATACCATATCCAAGCATGAACATCCTGTTCTTGCATTGACTCAGGTGTTACGGTCACACCCTCCGAACATTAGTAGCTTTCACGAAGACATGCTTCATTGGCTCCCAATAGGTTTCACCGCTCATATCTGATATCTCTTTCTGGTAAGTCAGAGCGTTGCTTTAATGTCAATTTTCTTTCTTTTTTCTGAAATGCATCCTGCCCGGTGTGTCGATCGCCTGACTGTTCGATAAGCAGTCACCTTCATAATTGCAACTTGAACAGGTGAGGAAAGCCTGATTTGAGTTCAGCTTGATCCTTTCACCATAATCACTGGACTTGTTATCTTCATTCACAGGAATGCAAGAGACATGTGTCTCAAAACAAATTATAATGAAACCATCCTCATACATGGGGAAGCTCTGACGTTTGTCTGTAATCTTCAGATGAGTAGATTCCTTCTTCCGTTGTCATGTTTACTTTTTGTGGTTGAGTTACGTCTAAGTTTAATATTGATGTTATTTGCTTTTCCAACCGTCTAATATATTAGACTTAAAAATACCGCGACCCCAATGCGGCATGCACAGACACTTGGTTTCATGCAATGACCACCCATGGACTAAAAAGAGATGGTGGCTACTAGTAGGCAACATCATTTGAGACTATTACTGTCAATAGCCACGTTTCCTACCGTTCTGGACGTATATCGGCTGACACTAGCCAATGCGCGTTTCCACGTCTGGGAATCTTTCTCTTGAGGGTCCTTCAATCCCCTGAAAGTTAGGGGAAGAATAGCCGCCGAATATGTACTGTGGTGGAGTACGGAGTATCATGAACGGTGTATTTCGAGAGAAACTACAAGGTTATGCTCCTCGATTACCAGCTCATAGGGTATATAAGCAGTACACCGTCCTGGAGGGCCTGGTGTCATGGATACCGTTGCTCATCATCTCACACATAAACTAGTTCGTTGCCAAAACAGACTGTTATACTTCAGACAATGTCACCAGTCGATATTTCATTTATTCATTCTGAGCTCGTTGACAGGGAGGAAGTTGCTCGTGTATGTGCAACTACCCTTCCTGTTCGTAAAAGCAAGTACAGTCCTCTGGTAGAGAAAGCGGTCCTCAAGTTCCAGCAGCAGTGACAGGAAGAGGTCGGATTTGCGTACTGTGGTGCAACTTCGCCGCAGGGCCCTGTCACTGTCTTCTTTCCTCCGGAAACTAAACAAGATCGTGTTGAGATCTTTGCCAAGCTCATTGAGTATTTCTTCGCTTATGATGGTTAGAGATCTTTCTGAGATCCTACTCTTTCATGAGCATAGGTACTAACTGAGATCTTGATGCGACAGACGTTCTCACTGCCCCAGGAAGTGCCAAGGTATGGTTAGACGTTGAACAAAATAGCACCGAATCGCTGAATTATATATAAAAGAAGCTTTCGCTAATTCTTAACCAGACTGGCGAAGAGCAATCAGCAGACTCTATTGGATGGGAAGTGCGCAAAGGAACGACGAGTAGCGTTCGAATCAGCGCAATGAAACAGATCCAATCCGAAGTGTTCTTGCGTCTTCTCGAAATCGACAGAAAACGCGGAAACCTCATTCTTCGAGCCATCAACGATTTATCCCGAGTTTACGGAACGATCGACTCGCGCGACCTCAGGAACATGGGACGACTTGGTGCAGTATCGGGCCGACGATTATGGGGCAGAGTATGTTTGCTAGACACCTACCATAAGCCTCACTACGGGAAGATACATTACTGAGACTGAACCAGGCTCAATATAATGTCGATTATCTACTGCTGCGAACTGGACCTGACGCAGAGTGACATACACGCGTTGAAAGAAGTTTGGTCGCCTGCGACTGCGGCGGCGGCGCTGGTTAATGACCTGTATAGCTTCAATAGGGAGGTAATTCTGGAGCCCGACACAGATACGGATACGGCTATCGCAACACCAAACTCTGTCTGGTACTTGATGAAAACATTGAACTTGACTGTGTCGCAGGCAAAAGAAATCCTGCTGAAAGACAAGATATTGCCCTTGGAAAGAGAGTTCATTGCCAAAAAGGCCGAGTACCTGGCCAACATGGATCCGGTGACACCCAAGTCAGGCGATATTATTTATTTCCTGGAAATGGTTGGCTTAGGGTTGTCTGGAAACTGGTACTGGCATGCTATTGCTGATCGCTTCCATCGATGGGCCGAATTGCTACAACTGCCGCCTGCTAAGTTATTCGATTACGATGAGGCCACAGCAACCTGTGCTACCTTTTTGAACACCCAATCTTTGAGGGGCAGAGAAAAATCAAATCCTGGAATCCACTGAGAGTCTGCAGGCAATGACAGATAACCCATACTATAAGGTTTGTCGCCTAAGAGAATGTCTTTTGATTCATTATCGCGAACAAACAGGGAAGCTGACACTTTTCCCGAACAGGTACTTCATCAGCCGATTGATTATCTTCGGAGCGTACCATCGAAGAACATAAGAGGCACCATCATCCAAGCGTTGAATCTATGGCTCAACGCACCGGAATCGGCAGCAACTCAGGTGGAAGACTTGATCGGACATCTGCACGAGTCGTCGCTTCTGCTTGACGATATCCAAGACAGCTCCGAGCTCAGGCGCGGTCGGCCAACTGCTTATCGCGTCTTTGGGGTACCGCAGACTATCAATGCTGCAACACATGCACTTACACTTGCATTCGAGAAGTTTGTCCCACTAATGAAGCCAGACAGCGCACACTTATTCTTCGGTAAGACTCTACCCAGAATGATGATTATTATATGCTAGCTGGCCGAGGTAGACGAGCTGCGCAACCTTCATGTTGGACAAGCGATGGACCTCTATTGGACACGTTCTGGGTATCGTCCTTCGATTGCAGAATACCTGGAAATGAACCGGTTGAGTAAGTTTCTGTACAGCCACAATCACATCCCGAGCTGATACTGATGAGGAGTTTACAGAAACCGGCGCACTGTTTTGCCTCGCGAGTAATCTATTATCTATCCAAGGGTCGTTTTCAGCCGGGTGAGTGGAGGAATACCCCCTGCAGACATGGTGGTACTAACAAATTAGCAGAGCTATCAAGCAGACTGACCTGAACGATCTTATGATCGTACTGGGTCAGTATTTCCAAGCTCGAGACGACTATATCAATCTGGCATCAACCAAGGTAAATATTCAACACGCAAATCTAAAAAACCATCCTTCTAACGACATATGACTGTTATTATAGTATCAAGAGCAAAAGGGTTTCGCTCAGGATCTCGACGAAGGCAAATTGTCGCTTCCATTGATCCACCTTCTGACACAGTCGCCGAACGCGGCACTGATCGAGAATACCCAGCAAGAACGAGCAAGGAATAACAAGCTGCCAGCTGATCTGAAGCAACTGATCTTGGATGAAATGCGTGATCAGAAGATTCTGCAGCTCACCGAAAAGACACTGAAGGGTTTAGAGGCCAAGGTGTACCGACACCTGGGAAGACTGGAAGTTTCCGCTGGGATCAAGAACTTTACGTTCCTGTTCTTGCTGGATAGATTGAGGGAGATGTGACTTTTGCAGATTTCTGAATATCTTCTATTATTCCTGCCTTCAAAGAAAGAGTATAATAAATAAATGTGATGAACTTAATGTGGGATTAAGACATCTCCACCCGTCAAACAAACACTATCTCAGCCACAAGATTTAGAGAAAAGTCAAATTCCGATGAAATTCCGGCATCGACACCAGATCGATCACAGAGTGGATCATTCTTCAACGATGGGAAAATCACATAATTAGAATTAGATAGATCTCGTCAACTACCGGAACCGGAAATAGAGAGAGCTGAAATAGACCCTAATGAGGACTGATCATCCCTGCCCATTCTTGATGAATAAATGGTTCGCTATGCTTAGTGCAGGGACGATCGGCAGTCATCAGAGAGAGTGAGATTGAGGAAAAAGGCAAACGAATTGTGGGTTCGGTTCGGTTCGGTTCGAATCGAATCTTCTCCGCGTGAATCATATCATCATATGGGGTTATCACCATCAGTAAACCAACAATTCTCACCATAGCAAGATAATCAAGACTATCGATGGTATTGAATTCATGTTTGACTGCTAATGGTGGCAGGCAGGCAAAAATGTTCGGAGAGTGAATGGGGCCTCGGAAGCTTCGGGTCGAGCTAAAAGCGAGGCTAACAGAGTTAGTGGCTTATCAGCAGCCTCGTGGTCAAATTGCCGACATTTGGATTCCCCCTTGGCTTTGGGCTGTACCATGGTTAGTGCGTTGGCATGATTGAGTTGGTTGGTCATTCAATCGGTTGATTCTACAGGGTTGGAAAGGGGGGCATGATTGCACAACCGGAGAAAACTTCATGCTATCGCCACTTCCATGCCCTAACCAATCCGGGTGTTCCGAGGGAATCCAGTTCAGGCACCCACGATATCTCGGTCGTGCAGCTACTAATTTAGCATGATAGAGGGAGAAATTAATAGAGAGAAGGCGCCATCAGCCAAAGCTTAACGAACGGATCAAATCATTCCCACCGAACTATCTACTAGTCAGCATTGGGTGCCCCACTGCTGATATGGAAGAAGTTAGGAAGAACCTTCACATCGCCGAAGCTTTTTTACGAGTATTTATCTCCGCTTGCCCCTCTTGACCTCTCTTCAGTTGCTTATCCCCCCCCCCCCCCCCCCTTTTATCGCCTACAATATGCGTCGCATTGCCACTGTCGCTCGTTGATTTCGCATCTCCGCCCTGGATGGTTCCTGCATCACATCCAACATGAATTTTAATGTCCGACAGGTGCAGACGCAGCTCTTCCGGCTGACCGTCTCCACCGCTTCCCTCTGTTTCCTGCTCTTCCTCTACATCTCCTTTGAGTGGTCGCCATCTGCCTCCGCTGGATATAGTGCATCGAATTACGAAGATGATCTCGATTCCGCCGTTCCCGCCATCTCCGCCTGCAATGGCTTCAACCCCGCGACGGTAGCAGATGTTCTGGATGAGACCCTCACCGCCAAACTGCCCATCAATGGCAGCGCTGTCGATGACTTTGTCTGCAGCATCATGACCCACGATATGAGTCTGTCTGCGAAGCTGGACTGTCCTGCGACCATCAGCCCGCGCTATGCTGATCTCCCGGTTCGCGCATCCAAGAGCTTCCTTTCTAAACCTAAGATCAAGTATTTCTTCGCTCTGGATCTCTATCAATCCGCTCACATTATGCTTCCCTTGATGGGCACTATCGTCGAGACGATGCGCTTCCTCGGTCCCGAGTATTGCGCTCTCTCCATCGTCGAGGGTCGTTCCACCGACGGGACCTATGATATTCTCAATCGGTTGAAGAGCGAGATGGCCGCCATGGGCGTGAGATACTATCTCTCTACCAGCGATCTCAACCCCAAAGCTGTATGGGAAGACCGTATCAAGCACCTCTCGACCCTGCGCAACCAGGCTCTTCAGCCGTTAGTCTCTGCCGGAGCGGGCAAATTCAAGCCATATGCAGCGGACGCAACGATCCTGTTCATCAACGACGTCGTCCTCTGCGTAGAAGATCTGCTCGAGTTGTTGTATCAGCACCAGAAGCAGGACGCTCGCATGACTTGTGCCTTTGACTGGAATGCCGCCGGTGGCCCATTCTACGACTCGTGGGTATCGCGCAGCATGTCTGGCAACCTCTTCTTCGAAATCACTCATGATGCACGGTACTGGCTCACCAAGGATATGTTCTTCGATGACCAGCCAAATCAGCAGCGATATGCAAGGAAGCTGCCGGTGCAGGTCTATTCATGCTGGGGTGGCATGGTCATCCTGGATGCGGCGCCCTTTGTTCAAAGAAAGCTTGAGTTCCGCAATCACAAAGACGGCGAGTGCCATATGGGCGAGCCCACGTTGCTGGCCAAAGACATGTGGGGCCAAGGACTGGGAAAGATCCTGGCAGTGCCTTCAGTGAATGTGGCGTATGAGTACAAAGCAACTCGTGAGGCCAAGAATGGCCAAGGATACGTACACAATGTTCTTGAAAGTGCAGACTACAAAGCGGGTAAGGAAATGGTTGTGTGGGAGAAGGAGCCACCCGTTCGGATCAAGTGCATGCCTTTGTTCAATCAACAATCATGGGTGAAGTCTACATGATTATACTTTTTGTATTTATATCACATCTCTTTCAAGCCTGGATATAGATATTACTGATACCCCTACATGAGCCATGCAATATCTGAAGTTCCCATTTCCTCGCAATTATCTGATGCATCATGGCTCCGCTGCCACTCATGCTTGCCCAATTTCCAGTTCAGCCGGTCACAACCGTTCACTACTTGGAACGGTCGTCTTGTCGCACTGTGACAATTAAAACGGTGGCTGTAAAGAAAAAGAGTGCGTGTGTTAACTTCTTCCCACGGACGTGTTCTTCCTTCCACGGAAACTCTTGACTGTTCCAATATCTTCAACTGCCTCTGGATACTGCCTGCTTTCCACCGCAAGTATCCCGCTTAGAGCAATACCCTCATTACTGCTGATTAGCATAAAAGGCACCTGCATACTGCCTACAGGGATCATATCCTATCCAGCTATTGGTCAGCTCATCTAACAGGAAGGCCTGCATCAACAACGAAAATGGCGAACAACCAGTCTGTCCAATTAGAATTCAGCGAAGCAGACATTCTTCGTGCAACAAGTTACCACCGCCGAGACTTCGAGTTGGCAGTGATTAGTATCAGACCGTCCGAAAAAGAGAAAATTCTACCTGGCATGAGGGATGCATTCAACCGCCCATTTAATCCAGCAAAGCCCGGCCTTCTGGACCACCTGCCGGTCGAAATCTTCCACAAATGTCTCGTGGGTCTAGACCTCAAGACTCTCTTTGGGCTTCGCCATGTCAACGCCCGTACCCGCGACATCGTCAGTACCTTTAAGCCTTACCAGAAAGCCATGAAGTACGCCCAAGATCTCATATGTGCACTCCTCCGCACCGGTCTAGCAAAATGGTACACCTTGGACGACATCTTCGACGTCCTCCACATACGCGAGTGCACGATCTGCGGCGCCGACTTCGGCGGATTCGTCTTACTTCTCCCTCCCAACCTAACCAGATGTTGCTTTTCATGTGTCCGCACGAAATCCGAAGTTGGCCAACACGTCATTGACCCGACCACTCGCCGCTTCCACTTCGAGCGCGATTACGAGCTAATCGCCCTCTCCGAAGCTCACAATCTCTATGGAGTGAGCCCAGCAGTTCTGCGCCGCGAAAACGTGCCCATCTTGAAATCACTCCCCGGGGTGTATGGCATGAAAGAAACGGAGCGCAAAATGCGCCACTCGCTTGTGCACGATAAAGCGGTCCGCGAGCTCAGCACTAACCACAAACGCGGCCTTCCCTGGTCGGATACGTCTCGCCGCAGTGGGGAGATGTTCCTGCGATGGTGCATGGCTACTATTGCACTGCCTTGGGTGGATCCGGAGACTGGGGAGATTGATCGTGGGGTCTCGTGCAGGGGCTGTCAATGGCGGTTCGAGCAGATCTCGTCTGACGAGAGAAGTTTCGGATCGTTGTCTGCGTCCAGAGATACGGTGCACTCGAAGTCTTCGTTTCTGGTGCATTTTGGGGGTTGTCCGCATGCAAAGAAGCTCTGGGAGGAGAGTAATAAGGGGACAGTCGTGGTGGGGGATTCGGAGTTTGTGCGTCGGGGTGGCTTTATCAGAGACCGGAAAGATGATATTACCTTGAAGGTGATTGCTAGGAAGAGCCCGAAGTCTATGGTTGGAAAGGCAGCTTCGCCGCGGAGTTCTACTTGATGGTGGATTTCAACGACATCGTGACGCCATTTTGGTCACTGTTGAGGGATCGGTCGTTCGTGAAGATTGGATTTTGAGTCGGGGAGCGTGGTAGGATAGGCGTTGAATCTTTTGCTGTGGGTGCGAGGAATATGCGGTGGATATCTATGGATATTCGTGACAGGGCAAGGGTATTGCGCTCAGAATATCTACTTTCAAGATGGACACTGGAACTGGTTAACAAGTGAGCTATTGCTCTCTTGTACATAATCATAATCTTCTCATTCTAGAATGACATTTCGCTAGAAGCTTTATTTCCTGTAGCTGTGTTGACGAATCTAGTAAACATGGAATACTCCAAATACACGAGGAGTTAGAATAAACAGAATGTCGCGATAAAAAAGTCAATTTACAACCAGAAGAATTATATTTGTTCTGTTATCGCCACCCTTTTGCCCCAATGCCCACAACCTATGTTGGATTATACTACTACTGATCAGACCCGAAACGGTATACTCTTTGAGTCGAAGCAGAAAGAAGCTCTCAGATAGAGGACAGTACTTATATAGTATTCCTTCCAATTCATCTTCTTGAATAAGCTATTGAAAGCTAATAGTACCTTTATTGGCATTTTTATATGGATGACTTCATAGCTTAGCATTCAGAGTTTGCCGCACTTCCAGTGCAGAATAAATATTAGTTGACTCGCTGACTTTTGAGGATTTACATGATTGAGGTGATTGAGTTGAAGCGAATGCAACAAACAACTTTGTGCAGAATATATGCGACATGTGCAATGCAATGTAGTAGTGAATAGGAGTTCATCCAAACATCAGCACAGACACTGAAAACCTACATAGCAACACAGACCGGTCAGAATACATTAGAAGATACTTATAGCTAAGTATTTTAGGTCTGATCATCGATAATGTAAATGTACCCATCTGCTGGTTAGTCGATCAAGGGACTCCTGCATCATAAATGCTATGAATGTGTTTAAGATCTTCTTTCCCAGTGCAATTATCAGAGATAAACTACTAATCCACTATCTTAACATTCTCTTCCTTCACTATCTTCTTTATAATCTTATACTTTATCAAGACCGTTATCCGGTGTTAAATTATTCGAAAACTATGATATCAAATATCGTCATAATCAGGAAACATTCCTATTACTATCAGTATGCAGGAACTTTCTTTCTTTCTCTCTCTTTTCCCCCCTCCATCTACTCTGAAAGTAACCACCAAACAAGCACCATAGCGACTGCAATACCCCAACTCAGTACACTTCCTACCTACTCACAAACCACTCAACACCCAACCTCCAATACATCATTACATCCCAAAATGTCCCCAATCAGCCCCACCGCATTCCAAACCACCCTCCAAGCAGCAACAACCCAACAAAATCACACCTACACAACCATCACCTCAATAACAATACGCTGGGAAAAAGACGACACAAAAGCCCACAAAGTGACCCCATATTTCCAAAACATCCTCCAAAGCCTGAACCTCCCACCAGCAATCGAGCACATCATCCGTCACAGCCACAGCCACTCAAACCCCAATATCCTATTTCAAAAAGCCATTCATGACATTATCGCCAAATCCAAACCCAGAACTAAACATGAAAATGACCATAACCTATTGATTCTCCATTACGCAGGACACGCTTATACAAAGAACGGACAACTTACCTTTGCTGAAACCGCTACCGCTACTTCCGAGAAGACTATCAACGCAGACACCTATCTGCTGAAAGACATCAAGACAGCCCATCTAGACACACTACTCATTCTCGACCATTGCTACATGGGTAATATACCGACTCGGGCTGCAACAATCCCAGACAGGGTAGTAGAGATCCTCGCAGCAACAAGCACACAAGCACCCCGGAACAGGATCTCACCCGAGAATACATTCACCGCTAAGCTCGCAGAGGAAATCTCTCGCAGAAAGCGGAGCGGACACGCATATATAGAGTTTTCTGACGTTTTCCAAACCTTAAAGTCCCATGAAAAGAGGGATAAGCTCCGTCCTACACATGCGTTGCTGGTCGGTGTTGGGTCCGTTGTTTTACCGCTTAGTGGATCTGGAACTGTTGATCCGGGTACTATTGCACCGGTGTGCACTGTGTTGTTTAGTGTGAGTGTTACGGAGGGGTTGACTACTGAGGAGGTGAGGAAGTTGATGGCGTGGATGAGGAAACTTCCTTGCTTTGCGGGTCTGGAGCTTGATAGGGTTTATCCTGGTAAGGCGATGTGCTTGGTCTTGCGTTCTGCGTTGTCGGTGTATACCAAGCTGCATAGGGTGCAGGGGTATTCGTTGATTGCGGAGGGTGTTGGTGCGCCGGGGGAGGTTGGTTTGGTGTGAGTTGTGTCTCTGGGGGAAACAATTTCTTCATAAGGGGCAATAAGAAATTGATATGGGATTGTGATTTGATTAGGAGTGAGGATATGGGGTGAAGTTTAGCTTTTAGACAGAGACAAGCTTTGATATTTGCCTGGATTATGAGTAATTCAATACGCCGGTTATGAGAATGAGTCAAAGTAAATAAGTCTATTGAAGGGAGTCAAGATTGTAGGCAGTAACTATATAAACGTATTACAAGGCCTCATGATTCTTCATTCATCTGAACAATTCAGTTTGATTTGTACTTCTATATCTGAGAGTGTCTGCCATTGAGATCCCAGGTCCATGATAATTCGTCGTATAATTAGTTCTGGTAGTGTATCTTTCTTCTTTTCTTATGTATGTATGGATCAAGTATTTCGGATATATATTGGATCTGGGTATCCTTCAGTGAATGATCAATCATGTTACTACTGAAGACAAAACGGTCGATCGATTAGCGTACCTAACCACTAGAGCCCGCTAGCAATAGATTGTCGGGATTTGGTCAGAACCAGGAGCTACATGAAGACTGGATTGCTTGACAAGTACGCTAGATCGACCTGCACAAATGTATATTCCGTTGTATCCGCACGGGTATTCTCGGATAAGTCGGATCTCCCCGACAAGATGAGGCAATGTTTCCACCCATGTCAGCCTGCTTTGTTGTTCAAAGCGGTCTCGGATGTATACACTATACAGCTGGCCTTGTTCCGCCGACGATCGGGCTCGGCGATGACACCCCGTATCTCCGGAGTTAAGTACCTTGTAGTCCGGATCCGGAGCTGTTCAATGCAACGTCTCCGGAGATGTCACCACATGGTCGTATCTCCGACATCTCGCCGATGATAAATCGTGCCCAGATGGTATGGAAATTGGATTTAAGACTGTCGGCAATTGCGTGTTTGGTCCGTCTCGGCTGCTATTTTCCGGACTGTGGCCATTTATTTATTTATTTCCGACTGAGTGGTTAACTGGTGTAGTTCTCTTGGTTTGTTGGCTTTTGAAGAGGTGGATGGCAATCTGGGGGATAGTTTCTTGATAGGAGGGGGTGTGCAGTCTGCAGCTACTGCGTTTCATCGGTGTTGAGGAGTGACACGAGAGCTGGCTGCAATTGGAGAAATCAGGTATCAGAAGGAACGGCATATTTCCCGGAACGTGGAAGGTATAGCGTCGCCCTCTTAGCACCACATGTTGGTAGCAAATCAAACAGTCAACAAGAACTCAACATAGTATAAAACCCTCTACAGTATGACTGAATGAAGCATAATCGATGGAAAGCCTGTTGCCTCGTGGGAAAGCATGTTAACAGTTTATGCCCATCCGGGCATCACTAACCGCCGACCCAATTGATTTCCCCTTTCAGTTTTCACGCTTCTACTCCAACAGCAACTTGACCATACCTCGAGTCCATTCGCTGAAGCCATATAGCGGTGTTCACCAAAGCATCGAATGTTTAGTCTTGAATTTGGCGCCTCTCTCAGAAAGCATTTTGGCAATATCTTCATGCCCATTCTCTGTAGCTTTGATGAGTGGTACATAAAGCCACCGGGTATCAGATTCCTTAGTTGCACCTGCTCTCTCAAGGAGTTTAAGGAAAATGCGTCCATATGCCTTTGCTGCAACCTGTACCACCACTGTTTTCTTGCGCCACAGATACTCGGTCTCAATCTCAGCGCCTTTTTCTAGAAGCATCTGAAAAATGCCTCCATATCCCTTTGCTGCAGCCAGTGCCAGCGGTGTATTCTCGCCCAACTGATCCTTGGTTTCAATTTCAGCGCCTCTCTCTAGAAGCATCTGAACAATGTCTTCATGTCCATTTTCTACAGCTAAGGATAGTGGTGTCTGACCATTTTTATTATCAGGCTCAGTTGCGGCACCTCTCTCAAGGAGCATCTGGACAATACGTCCGTGCCCATTCGCTGCAGCTAATGATAGCGGTGTCTGACCATTTTTATTATCAGGCTCAATTAT